TCCACTCGGACATAAACTTCCCATCTCAACCCACCTTTCGAATTTTCCCTCCTTTTTGCCATTTTTCCTTTATTAATTGAAAGAAGTTATTTGGTCAATCGGACCACGAAATCCAATGGATTTAACATTTGTTATATTACGAAAGTTGACTTTAATCATAGTTTTTTGTGATGGTGTTTTTGGATTTCGTATGGTAGCGTAGTATTGTACGATATAAAAAAAATAGGATTTATGATGAACAGTCTTGAACTAGATATCTTCTAGAACTTTTGGATGTATTATAATACTGAGCATGTACGCTACCGAAGGTTCATTTGGGTTTGGGTTCATTAATCACCAAAATCATCCTTTCTTATTGAGCAGCTTATGGCGTTAAAGGGTTGCTTAGAAATTGAGAAATGCACCCGTAGGATCGTGATTTGTACCTCACCATTAAAAAAAACCAAAGAGCGGCGAGCGGAGTGTTGTCGGTCCTATTGTCGTTTCTCCTTTAGCCTTCTCTCAGCCCTCAGAGCACGTAATGCTTTTATTTCCTTTGAGTTCTAAAGAGACAGTGGTTGTTTATGTCTCCGGGTTTAATAAGTCGTCGTTCGAAACGTAAACGTTGGGTCAACACCCTCCTGTCAGACGACAACGATCACAATAGTCTTCACGTACGAAAAAGGGCCACCCTTTTGAAAATACTTCGGGAGCAGAAGTGTGTCGAAACATTTCAAACGGTAATGAAGCGGCTTAAGTGTTTTCTTGTTTAAAAAAATCTATCCGAGTCAATGGTCAATTAGAATCGAATAGTCGGACGGTGTCATTGCAAGAATGCAGTAGCAACGGTGCGAATGCCGTATACGGCGTATCTGAAGGACTGTGATCGACATTGATAAACCGCTGAAGGAAATAGTCGGCCCGTTAGAGTGGCATGAATCCAATAACAAGGCGACAAACCGCCTCGTTGCTGAAAATCTAGGTAGAACTAGCTTCAGTTAAGGCAATGTTAAATTTTTGGCTCATCGACGTTTTATTTCCTTTGAATTCTAACGAGGATGTGGTTGTTTATGTCTCCGGGTTTAATAAGACGTCGTTCGAAATGTAAACGCTGGTTCAACACCCAGTCAGAGCACAACGATCACAACAATCTCCACGTACCAAAAAGGGCCACCCTTTTGAAAATACGTCGGGAGCAGAACTGTGTCGAAACATTTCAAACGATAATGCAGTGGTGCGAGAAAAAAGTATAGATGCTTAATTGATATTTCACATTTCACCATGCAAACCTATTGCTTTTTACTCAATACTTGATAACCTTTGGTATCAGAATGAAGGTGTCGAAGTAAAACAATAATGTTAATACGCATTAAGATTCAGTAATGATTTACTGAAGAACAGAAAGCAGTATCACAAAAGTGAAGGATCGTGTATTGACCGTACATTAAACTAATATGGGATTTGCTTGTTACCGTTCGTTTTAGTTTGCCTATCCTCGCTGGGACGGTTTGTCATATGTGTTTCAGAATTTCACCATCATTAGTACTCTTTCTGACATACACAGACACACTGAAGGAAACAAAATGATGAATCGATTCTGAATGGCCAACCCAGCGACTAATAAGCACCATATTTTTTATCGTATGCACAAGTAATCCAACCTGATTCCGATCTTTTACTGCAGCGTCTCTCAGAAACGGGGCCAGAGTAATAATAACAAATAACAAAAATCTCACCCCATAAAATTCAATTGAATGCCAGATGTTGCAGAGCCATAACATTGTTACACTATAAGCCTAAATAATACAGTATCCAGGTCGATCTTCGAATATTGGTTTACGACGTTCCAATAATAGAAGCAAGCGGTGTAAAAGTGAGATAAATTATTTCCATCCACTCTCCTCTCGTACGACAAATGGGCGTATTATACAGCCTAATAAAATCCGAAAACGTCCCGATTTAGTTTTACAGCACCTATTCAGAAAAAAAACAATATAACATAACCGACTGTCATCAAATGATCAAATTATTTCGGTTTGTTGTTCCTTCGCCAAATCATAAATACCACCATCATCTCCCTTCCTCGCACTATCTCTCTCCTTTTCATCATCTAAATTATTGAGCGTTTATTAATTAGATTGTGTGATTGTTAATGTTAGGCAAGAAATTCCACAAATAAGCAATAAAACTAATTGTTATTAAAAGGCAGAAGAACAGTAATTAATAATAATAATAATAAATGATAACGTATATTATGTAAAAAATAATAATAACATTAAATCGTATACGGAAATTAACAACGAGTATACGTAAAGTTAACTATGATTGAGACAGGCAGATAGATATTTCAAAAGTATTCTATTGGTAGATGGATAGAGAAAGGTACATGAAAAAAAATATATAGAAAGATAAGATGGGAAAGGGCTATTGATAGATACATAGATATATAACTTGAAGGAGTGCCATAAACACATATAGAGAAAGTGAGTGTGAGTGTATTTGTATGTGTCAGAGGAAGATTTAAACTGAATTTGAGATGAGAAAGAGAGAGAGAGAGAGAGAGAGAGAGAGAGAGAGAGAGAGAGAAACAGACAGACAGACAGTTGAGCGATGTAGAAAGAATGTGTGACAGTAGGATTTTTAAAATAATATTTGTCACCGAGAAAATTATGCAGTAAGAAAAGTAAAGAAATTCTTGTCAAAGAGGAGAGCATAAAGTCGTCCAACTACTAGTTTCGCGGATTCGTCAGAACATTTTTACAATTATTTTTCCAAATTAATCTCAAATAAAGTCGCAAAGGGATTCGAACTCAGGACTGATAGCGGGGCAAGTAAGAATCGGGCGCCTTAACCACCCGGTCATCGCCAAAAATGTTGGCAGTTCTTCAATCGGATTTAAAATGTTCATCTATCAAGGCTTGCCTATCACCATGGATATATGTATGTACAAGAAAAATCGGCGAAAAAATCATTTTACCTTTGGTAAAGTTTAAAGACGAAAGTTTGCAGCTCGTTTTTCTTAAAGATTGGACATGAAACTTAAAGGCTATAATTTAAAGAGTTATAGGATGACCCATTTCATTGCTAATTGAAGCTGTAAATCTCAGCTTTATCTTTTCGTGCTCGACCTCCTTCGTGGACCATTGTCCATTTCCGGCAAATTAAGCCCTCCCCGGTCGGGGTCGTGGCGGATCCCCGTGGAAGTCGTGCCAAATGCGAAGACTTCAGAGACGACTTCAGAAACAATTCGGCAAACGCTTTTTCTACGTTCGTGAGTGTGGGCCGGTTCGAAATGGCACCCCTTTTCCATGCGACCTTGCCTCTCAGTAATGAGGGGATCGGAAAAATAACGGTAAAAAAGCGTGAAAGAGATCGAAGATACGAGAACTCAATAAAGGGTTCTGATCGGTATTGGAAGATATTTGACCTTTCCTAAATGCCCACTCAACTCCTCATTTTTCTGAACCGCATTAAAGGAGGATGGACCGTCGGATTATCAGAAAAAAGTCTGCTGAACGCTAAGTCATCCCATTTGCAGATTTCAACGTAATACCGTTTCAAATTTGCACGATCCAAAAGTAGTCCGTGTCTATTGGGAGGAGCTACAATAATCAATTGTTGAATCACATTCTTGAAAATATTCTTACCACTTCCACTTGTAAATTTATTAACGGTAATTCTTTACAATTAATTCAAGCAGTGGCAGTAATAATGATAAGTACTGTAAGTATTAAACTTATAAAACTGCTTTCTGTGTTCTTTGGGTTTTAATCAGTTCATTAATTAAGGAAGAGTCCTCAATAAGTCTCAGTCCTGAGTTATTGTTGAATGCAAATCGTTCAGGTGAGTCATGTGACTGTCAGTTTGTTACTAAATTATCACTTATTTTATTTGATGATTTTCTTCGGATAGACGTCCCGTTGTAGATTTCAAGATCCACTACACTAAGAGCTGACAGATGTATTGTTCAGAAAATGAGATTCAAAACGTTACATCTCAACACACGAATTGCCATGCAGTTACACTCAATGATCATTTTATTTCAATCCAATAATTGGTTGTAGAGAAGAATCTTCTGATAAAAATGTCACTGATCCCATGATCCCTTTCTCCTAGTTAGCATCTTACAAGTATGTCATAGAATATACTGAACCTTACAGGGCAGAGAATTGTTGAGCAAACATGGGTCGATGTTGACTCGATGATCTCACACCTTCCTCTCACCCACGTTTACCGGACTTCAACCCTATGAGAATACGTGGGTTGCAATGCAAATAAGACTTTCAGGGCTTTAACCGCAGAACATTTAACTAATAGCATATAGGCGTTACACTTCCGCATATTTGTAAGTAACATTAACAATTACGATACAAATTATGATGTTAACGGAAATTTAGTACGTATAAGTTAATAAGTGTAGATGACAATTGGACAGTACAATCTTTTTCAAAAGACTGTTCATGCTCACAGTTAGTTATTTCCAACGTTACGGATTCCAAACATACAGCTCATCATCAGGTTGAAGGAATTTACAACCACGTCTCGACATGAATTACAATTGTGAACACGCCGGTACCTGGCCAAAGCCACGTTCCAATGGCATTTATCTTCATGTTTAATTTCGCATTTTTTATTTCGAGTTTCTCAAAGCAATCCAGTTTCCTACGTTTGCTGAAACTGTGTAACACTGCTGGTTTGTAATGCCGCTCATCATGCATTGGGCCATGGGAGGATTTTAGTTCAATTTGAAATATAGTATTACCCACTGAAGAACTGACGTCTGTTCGAGCCTAAGTGAGTGTTCCTTTGTTTTGGTAAAAAGAGACAAGGGCAGGTCTAATGACTTATATATAATCTAACTCCATTTAATTTATCGAATCTAACCACTACATTGAAAGGAGTAAGAGTATGTTTGTTTTTCTATGTCTGCTTTAAAATTTTGCTGAATAATTCACAATAGGCAAATATTTTGATTTTTGACTAATTGTAAGACTATTTTTAAATGAAAGCGTGCAGCTTACCTTGTATTTGTTGATTGCGGCTTCTGGTTGAAGCTGTGTCTCCGTTTGTCCCTGCTGCTTTTCTTAGCCCTCTGGCCCTTTCCCTCACTGTGGTACAGTGGGTTGGACCTGTCCAAAGGCTGCGTTTTGGGCTCGGCGCCGCCCCTCAGTTCGCGGAGCCATCTGGTCAGGGTGCCTTCCTCCTCTCTGAAATTAGGAAAAACGGTTACGCAAGCCAAATCGAATGAAACCGTTTATTTACCCCGGGGATAAGACGGTGTAATGATACTTTCTGTTTTTCGTGTGCAAATTGCTACTCGGAAAGCAGGTCTCATTGACTTTCACGTCGACGATACCGAATTCAGGGAGATAAGAGTAAACATCGTGATAACCAGGACTCTAGGATTGGCCTACTACGAAAACAGTTATGTAAACAACTATTTGAATTCTCGAGAGATAATGGCAAGTAAGGAGGCATATAATTCGGCCGCCTTGTGCAACGCCGTCTACGGCCGACAGCGGACATCATCCTTTCTCCTTGTTTGGATATATTGAAGTCGAACGATTCTCGCTATTACAACCTATAATACTAAAACCATACAGAAATATGGAAATGGACAACCATGTCTCGCAAGAAAAGATTTTATGAGTTACATACGCTGTACGAAAAATTGTGAAACTGTACAATACCTATCTCCGGCTATATACGCAATTTTTTGCCACTCGTAGTCTTAATCCGGTTTATCTTTCTAATATAAACCGAGGTGAGCCGGTTTCAAAACGAGCTTCACCCACGCCTCGGGGAACCATCTGCTCCATTAGGAGGACAGAATAAGACACTTTAGAGAAAAACCGAAGTGCACCTAGATAATCGATCCAAATGATAATGCTATGCAGAAAACGTGCCAAATACACGAGCAACCCACACCCAAGAGTACATATATTTATATACACTACATTATATATTAATATTAGAAAACGGACCATATAACTAATTTCTCCTGACAGATAAGGCTTATGACTTGGACTCTGTAATGAAAATATTTTGACCCGTTATGTTACCAAAGACAGATTTCAATCATTAGATTACACTCGATGGATCTGATATAATTACTTCCTGATGTTAATCATCTTCAAGAAATCTCACGGAGTATCGAAACAAAATCCGATTTGGGCGTTGGATATCTACATTATAGATCGAATCTCGCCGTACCGATAAAGGTTGCGTAATTTCAAGCCCGTCATTGTTATCTGATTGTTAATCCTGACGACTTTATGTAATTGACGTTTCATACGGAAGAGAATAAAGCAGATCCGGGGTACATAAATAGAATCCAGTAGGACGGAGATTGGAGCGGTCACGCTCCACAGCTCGGCGGTCCTTATCGCTTTGACAAACTGCTCAGGGGATAGTCGTCTAGCCATCAACGGAGAGAGGATCGTGTCTGACCGTAACTCCATGGCGACCTGGGATACCCGATTTGCTAGAAAAAAACGGCACGGCGAACTTTATATGTAAAGAAATTTGGTCATCCATTTACATGAACGTGAAAACTAACACGGAGGTCCATCTTAAAAAAAAAACTGAACTAACTTTTTGCTTTGACGAAAATCTCACAATAGATTGAGGGAAGTTAGCTTGAGAAATATGAAATAAAGAAAGGACAAAACGATTCAAATCCCTAAGATTTTAAATAAGCTCCATTGCTCGTCAGTTGGCAATATGGCAATAGCAAAGGGGCATATATATATGCCTGTGTATAGAAAAGTAGAGAGAGAGAGAGAAAGATATATATATATATATATATACACACATATATATATATATATAGAGAGAGAGAGAGAGACAGACAGACAGAGAGCGTAGAAAGATTGAATAAATATAAAGGGGTTATCGTTACTGGCTAATCGTCTTGACTATTACGCTATAGTGTGATAGATGAGTTGAAATTAAGTATTCTTTGATACCGAAAAAAGATTGATGTAGTTACCGATATATCTTATATCATCTAAGATTTTATAGATTCCTATAACATTTATATAAGATTTATGTCATGTAATATTTAAGATTTATAACTAGCGATATGCCATTTTTTATTGTGTACATCAGGATCCCAGACTTATATTAAAACACGGATTTTTACGAGTTAACTTTTTTTTTTGTTCAAATGGGGTGTGTGTATGACTGAGAGCGAAAATGTGACGTTTCATTTTCCAGAACTTCAACTGTTTCAATCGTGTCATTGTCATCAAAAGGTCCAAAATTAGAGACCATTAATGTAACCCCAAATTGTAAGTAAAGGTTAAGCCGTGAAAGCTGGCCGATTGAAACGAGTCGGAATGCCTTACATGGACGGAGTCCATTGTCTCGAAAAACAAAAAATGACACAAAATGGAACACGGCCCGAAATTAAAAATAATTTTACGACTTGGAAAAGAGAAGCTTTTGGCCTCCGGGAGTCAATAACGAATTGTATGCCATACAGACATAATTACACCGTGAATGAATTAGCAGCGGTCCTTATGGTTTCGAAAGAATGAATTTATCTCATGATGGTGATGATGACTTGAATTAGAAATTCTTCAAAAACAGGGATTTCGTATCTAGCAGTAATATATTATTTCATTTTATACTGATAACTTTTGCCATTGTGGTTAATAAGTTGAAACGAAGCTTTGAAATCGTGTTGTTCACACAAAATTGATTGATAATAAAATATCTAAAATATACCAAGAATTTCTTTTTATTGTAAATAGGTAAAAGCTTTCCTTTTTGCCTCGGCGCCTTAAACTATTCACCAATTTATCGGATAAATCAACAAACATATTAGATCCAACTAAGAAAACAAAATGGTTTTCAGTATAAAAATAAGGCTGAAAGTTTGGCATTTTCCCTCGTAAAGAAAAAAAAGTTTTGCTTTCGTTTTCTTGTCCTGCGAGGATGAATTTTGATTCGATAACGGAATGGAGGTGGGCGAGGAAAGAGAAAGGTCACGACAGCTGCATCAACCTTGTTTGACTTCGTGCCTGACCCCCGCAGTGACCATTTTATTTGAAATGCGCAAATACGGTATTTGCCAGTTCGAGAGATCGGACCAAATGACGGAAACAGGCAGTGTCCAGTTTCTGAACGTTTACCGCCTCCTGCTTCTCCAGTTACATTAACGAGTTAACTTGATCTTGTTTGATTAACGCCTCGTGCAAACCTCATCCTACACCTACTGATCTTCCTCATTTGGACCAAAGTTAAATAAACAATAATTATATTACACTTATGTTATATTTTTATACGCAAATGTCTCTCAGCCTTCATCATGTTGGTGACTCAAGAGCCAATACTGTGAACTGTAATAGGACAGGTGCATAATTAATGCAATAAGGCCTCTCGTTGATCCAGGAAACCGAAGTCGTCTGGGCGTCTGTACGGGCAATGGGGTTCACAGCATGCATCTCGCGATATCATATTACACCCCAGACACAGATTATCAGTCCTTCCTGGTCACCCTCCGCAGACCGACGCCGTTCTCTTCGGTTTGGCGCGCAAAGATCGGCCTCTTAGAAATTATGGCAGCTCGTGCGGCAATTATTCTTACATTCTGCCCAGAAGATGATTTCCAAATCGACCTTAAGCAGGTTCAGGGACAAAACGGGATTTTCTTTCCCTCAACTCGACGTCGGTATATTTTTCGGAGTTATTCGTCTGCAGGAATTGCTGAGGACATGATAGTCCGATTCGCGGGAAGAAGTGATGTGATGAATACGATTAAATTTTGGTTCGTGCAATTCGCTATTGATCCGCCAGCTATGTATATCCAATAGTTTCAATAGCGCAAATTCTGCAGCCACATATTTCATTCAGCCAATCATACACTTCATAGTAGTCTTTATAATAATGTAACTCATCACATTTTTTAAATATAAAATTTTCTGTTGCTATTAGTATTAAAACTGTACTACTTAAAAAACAAAAAATTAAAAAAAGTGGGGGTATGCGAGGTTGACACGCATTATTACTAAGGGGGTAAAGAATAAATTTATTTTGCACAAATGTCAATTACATTTGCAAAAAGGTGAATTTGATTAGTAAAAGAGTGAAATAATATGCAAAAGTCCAATATATTTAGTGGTCTATCGACCAAATCACTTCTTTCAATTAATTAATCTTTTTATGTAAGGTTTTGGTTGAAATGAAAAAGCTAGTGTCATGAGCGGGATTCCAACCGACGACCTTCGGCTATAATATGCAAAAGGATGAATCTGATTTGCAAAAAAGTGTATTTAATTTGAAAACAACTGATTTTTTTGGATCGAAATAATGCCTAATTTTCATCTTCATTAATTTAATTTATTTTATTTAAGATTTAATTGCCATTTATAAATTAATAATAATTGTCACTTATNTCTATCTATCTCTATCTCTCACCCCACCAAAAATGAATCATTAGGTTTTCGTCACTTGCCATGCAATGGGGATTATCAGAAAAGTAGCTAAAATTCTTAAACAAGAAGGTTTTAGAGTAGCTGTTACAGGGATGTGTTCGCATCCTCTCAGAACATAAAAGCAAGGTTGACAACTTGCCACAAAGCGGGGTTTACCAAGTTAATTGTAATGGCTGCGATATTAAATAAAAAGGACAAAGCGGCAATAAAATTGAAAAAAGAGTTAAGGAACACTTGCCTAAATCGAAAAAATTATCTGATTTTAAGGACTGTCTAAATGAAGCAAAACACAATTTCATTTTAAATGTAAATACAGCAGTGTTACACAGATTCCACCAACGTAAGGGACTAGATTAAATAAAAAATGTGAACTTAAACATGGAGATAAACGTCACTGGAACGTCGCGTTAGCGGTGGATCAGCGGGTTCGTTCTTACAATTTATGTCGAGAGACGTGTTTGTAACTTCTTCAACCTGATGATGAACGACTGAAAGCAAGATCATTCAAAACGACAAACTGTGAGGGAGAACTATCTTTTCAAAAAGGTTCTTTGTTTGTGTTGATTTGAGAAACCAATCAATATTCATTCCTACAAGACACATATAATCTACGAAAAGGCCAAGTAAGATTAAAGGACAGTACATAAATTAGTATTTATGTTTAAATTAACTAACAAACGCTCAAAAGGATTTTGTTTTTAATTGTTATTTCACAGTGGAACTTACGTAAAGTTTATCTCCCGAGGCAAAAGGAGAATAAATGTTCG